GGGTATTGCTGGCAAGAAAAAAAGAAAAGACGAGGGGAGGAAATTCATTTTAAGCCTATTTGCAGAATCTTGCACATTAAGTCCTTGAGATGTTTTGGGAGAGAGGGTGAAATCAGTGTCTGTCTCAGGGCAATGAGTCACTCTACAAAGCAGATATCCAACACTTTGCTCCGAGTCTCTTCAAGCACATGGAAACGCTCTGTCGTAGTGTAGAGGATCATTTTTTTTCCTCGCATGAAAAAGGTGACGTAAGACAAATCCAGCTCGGACTAATTATCCCTCGTAATAACCCATCAGACTAGATTCATTATTGCGCTTTTGAGAATAAACCAACACTCTGCAAATTAGTTTTCGAGAGTGCATCAATATCCTGATAGCCCGTGAAGGTGATGAAGACGAGATGACTGGTAGTTCAACGTGGGGGCACAGAGCAGATGGTGGTCTGTCCAAACTCTCCAGGAGGGACTTGGTTAGGACAGGTTGTGAACACACACACACACACACACACACACACAGGTTAGAAAGAGGGCACAGATACTCCAGAGGATCCCCGGGCTCTTTTCCAATAAAAACTAAGTCTGAGAATTTAAAGGAAACGGAAAGTTAGATTAGAATCTAATGAATCACAAAAATAACCACAGAACCTTTCATTCATGATCTCAAGGTTTCAAGGTTCCACTCATTCTGACATTTTATCATCTGCTGCTATTTATGTGAGTTTATTTTTAGTTTTATGCTTTGGTTTGCTCTATAATTAAAAAGGCTTTCCAAAGTTGCCCTCTAACTCGGTACAACGAGGTTCCAGCTGTCACGGTAATCAGTGTTTGTAGTATTAAAAATAGGACTAATCAGGTTTTCCTCTTTATGTGCTGCTTTGGATAAAACATAATTTAGCCTCAACCAGATTGTAAATAACACTCACAAATGCCAACTGAGCTGATTTTAAGATTCTTTTCATCTTGTGTAAAAAGGGGCACCCAGTTTAAATACTTAAAATTCTTGAACACTTTATTTGAAACTCACCCGATCCAATGTGTCCAAGGTTTTTGGTATTTTATATTTAGAGCATCTCTACAGTGCCGGTTACTTTGAATAATAACAGAGAAGTTCCCTGAATTTCAGTTTTGCTATTGAGGACTTTCTCTTAACTATTCAGATTAAAGAAAGAACCTTGTAGTTCCAAGGTCATGCAGCGTCTGAGGAGAGGAGTCAAAAGAGAAATGATCCTTTCATACGTCTCAGGGGTCGCTTCTCTGAATACTGTGGCATTCAACTCGTGATGTTGTGGAAATATCAATTTTGTGCATTCAAATGAAACCATTTAGAGCTTCAAGTGAAAAATGACGACAACTTGAGTCAAAAATTTGACTTCACGTGTCCTCTGTCTTTTCTTCTCCGTCAATCACAACACCTCTGCGGGGGGAAGGATTTCAATTTCACACTCTGCTGGGGTGCGCGGTGCACACAGCACTTAAACACAGGTACGGAAAGAGAAGAGAGGCCTGTTAAAAAAATGGATCAACATATGCATTCATGAATGAGTAAACAACCAAGGGATGAGCATAAATGAATACATCAGACACGCAGCTGGGATACAAAGAGCAACTTCTGAGTGAAAGCCGACCATATGTCCATTTCAGATTCACAACAGGGACCTGCAAACAGAAACTGTACCTTTATTATAGTCTTTTAACTCATTTCTCTTCAGTACATGCACAGAGTGTAAATGATTGTAAAAGGTCTTCATTATGTTGCAGCAGCACGAGAGAACAAAAACCCTTTATTGAATTCCACCAAACAGCCTGAAGCCGCTACACGTGTCCAGATTTGACTTGAAGAGTCGCTCTCAAGTGTCCGTCTCCTGTACACTTCCCGTTAGCTGACTGCACCTCTCAAATTCACTGTATTCACTATCTGCAATCTGAATAATTCATGGGTGTGCAACCCCCCCCCCCCAAAAAAAAGAGAAAGCAGTCTGTCAAAAGGGGGAAATGACTGTGACCTGCTATGCAAAACAATTCGGGAGAGCGATGCAGAGTGAGAGATAGGTATGAGACGGGGGAGGAAAAAAAAAAAACACTATGGGAACAGACACAGAAACGCAGAGAAAAGAACGAGAGGGAAATTTCCTCACTTGTTAAAGAGCGTCCATATGCTGGAGTGTGATACGGAAATGGCCCCGTCTGTATTCATGAATCTCTTAGAGCGCAATCAATGGCGTAAGCGATACATAAAAGATGAGGCCAAGTTTGACCTGCGCCCCGAGGGGGAGGGGAAGGGTTCTGCACAGCCTGGACCAGAGGATATGGCGATTTAGACTCCCTTTGAAGTTTTGGCAGATGATGTGTGGATGAGCCTGTGGCCCTGCTGCAGTAACCCACCCCCCCACACCACCCCCTGACTCCCAGCCACGCTCGCTCTGAGTCAGCAGCATCAGCACCACCAGCACCAGGGAGCTGGAGCTGCCTGCCTGGCCAGCATCATGCATAATCTCTACACTGGTTTAGCAGGGATCCATTATTCCAGAGCCACTATTCAAACTTCAGCAGCGATTATCTCCGTGCTTTACTGCATTTTCACAGCAGCGTGACTTCACACCAGATGCCTGCAGATCTGATTCCAGCGCTCATTTATGACAAAGATGGAATTTGTGGGGCACACGCTCATATAACAACAACTCAGAAGATATTGTGCGATTGCTTATCTGCCACAAGACAAACACACACACACACAAACACACAGAGGCCTATATGGACCTTTATCTAGTCCAACATCCCGATGAGTACAGATCGCACATGCATGCACGTGCACACACGCATCTGGATTGTTTGTGCATGCAGGCGGAGATAAATAAGAGGTGAGTCACGTCAGAAAGAGGATTAGAGGGGCTGTGGAAAGGCAGAGAATTATTGACGGAAAAGAGGGGGATTTAGATTTAGCTCCGCCGGTCCACAGGAGCATCTGACCCCTCCTCTCTCCCCTCTGCACACTTACACATGAACTTGTGATGACTCAGTAAGACCGTCGCACCCTAAGTCCAAGCTGTCGCCCGATAAGACCTGACTTTTTTCTATTCGGCCTTTATCCCATCATTGTGAACCAAGTCAGCAAAAATACATAAAATGACCAGAACGGATGAAGGAACACACAGACACAGCAACAGACGTGAACTCGCAGAATCTCATTCTGTCCGCAGAAAAACATACACTAATCCGATTCAAAATGCACCCAAATCTCTGTGTGATTAAAATAATTCCGGATTCTGAATAAATCGTGGGTGATTAAACTAACCAGAGTTCCCATCTAAAGCTCCAGTCTCAGTCTTGTGGGGGTTATTTTTTTTCCTGCCGCACAAAAAAACTAACTCGAAGAAACCGCTCAAGAGGATGAAAGTGGCAGAGAGCATTTCAAGAAGTAGACAAAAATATCTCTGAGGCCTGAGGGTTAAACCAAAAAATATGTTATAGCAGCCCCCACCAATTAAACAGAGGTAGATTCAACTTTTTGTACTGCTCAAAAAAATAATAACTACAACGTGAGTTGTGTGAGCAATCGTACATATGAGTGTGTGTTTGTCTGAGTGTGTGGTGAAGTGCGAGCTGTGGGGAGTTTACAAGGGCACAGAGATGAGTACAGTATTTGCAATTGAAATGCAGGGCGTGATTCAGAGGCGGGGGGTTCGACAGCACCCCGCCTGGCTGGTTAGACTTCCAAAGGGCACACTTAATGAATTCACAGTGCCGTAATGTGAGAACCACACACTGGTGACAGGTCGTCATTTATTAAGAAGCAGGTGTTTGAGTGTGTGTGTAGAAGAACGTGTGGAGACACAGGTCTGAATCTGTTTTTCACTATTTACACGAGTGTGTTCTATAGTTTGTTGTGTATGTAAAACCCAAAGTCTGCGGTAAAGGACGCTCCTCTCCCCCCACAGAAATCACTGTGTGATTAGTCCTGCCGATACTTCCGCACCACTGTCTGCACGCATTTGCATGATGCTCGCCCAGCAGCTATTCTGGCACGCCCCCTAACGAAGCCAGGTAGGGCCGGAGCAGAGGCCGACATTTCCTGTACGTGCTCATTTTAAAAGTCTCTGCATGAAAATCCATTTGCTTGCAGTTACACAGACTGAAAGAATGACTTTCCAGATTTAGATACGAGGCTGTTGTGCAGGTTTCTTTTGTTTTCAGAGATATTCCTTATCACACTCGAGGGTTTAAGTTAAAAGGCTCGGAAGGCGAACTAGGGGTTTTGAGATAAATATGTATATACTGTAAAGAAACGGACTTTACCTACAGTGTGCTGCAAAACCTTATATGGATGATGTTAGTGCTTCCAACCAGCACATGAAAAACCTTTCACACCCTCTGCTCAAAGTTGATCACCACCAATAAATTCCCAACCTGAGGGAAACGTGGGGCAAAGAAATGAAGGGAAAGCAATTTAGTGTTCAGGGTGCGTGCTGACGAAGCCCGACATCGTAGCTCCTTCGGTGATGGCAATATGGCCAACCTCTGCACACGGCAAGAGGAGCA